CGATTTTTTTTGTCATAAACAGGGTACCCCTTTCAGAATCCCAGCGGAACCCCCCTACTCAAATTCTGGCGGGGTCCCCCCCCCCCCCCCCGGGCACATTTGTCTGGGTGGCGAAACGAGTATATTGATGGTTCGGGCTAAGGCTACCCCAAGCCACACATACACCCCGCTTTCAGCTCGAGTCTCTTCGTGGCAAGGATTAAATGCCAGGCAGTTTTCAGTTTACGACGATTTCTCAACTAAAACGAATTCTATAAAATCGATTCAAAGGAAATCGAATACATCCGTGCTTTACGAATCCGTATTGATCCAGTTAGTTTGAAGTGTTTTTAGGTCACTAGATTTATTTATCAAGACCCAAAACGTGCAACAACACATCCAGATATTTTTACATTTCTATATTTCCGCATTGYTACAACAAACCCGTGACGACTCTGTAATGCGTTACAATAATTGACCTTCGTGACATTGAATATAATGTTACATATTTTTCCTTCATTCTTGAACGCTTGGTTTCTATAAAACGATCCGATATGGTTCTTTTTGTTCAATATTTGCTCATTTATCTGCATTCTGTACGAGGAAACGTTATATTTACGTAAAGGATATATTTGGAAATTCAAACTCTATTGTGACATAATCTTACTATTATTAGCATTACTCCCAGTATGCCCTAATATGGACCATTCATAGAATATTAACAGTACCTATTCATTCTTCCTTATCACTCCTCCATCTACGATCGCCTTCGTTTATCTATAACTGATCGAATCACTGTTTTACAAACTACAATGGCAGGCCTGAGGAAATCCAAGAAATACGACTGGAAGGATTCAAATCTTGCTCTTTTTGGCTCAGACTTGGAGAAGAATGTAAGTTATAGAAGTGTAAATGTTAGTACTGTCGTAGAGAGGAACGCGATGATCATATCACCATCCGGAAATTAAGCTCTTAGACTTTCGTTTTAGCTTAAAGATTGATTTTAAGATGAAAATAGGGATGAATGGAATGACTGGGGCATATCTTTTAGTAAAACATAGCGTAGAAATAATTTAGATTAATGAGGATATTATTATCAGGCATCAAAAGCTTTAGAAGAGCATTATCCATATAAACAAACAATAACAGATGTTGAAAGCTGTTCTTCTTAATTTTAAAATCAAGATCTACAAGTTCTCATTCTTAAAAAGCCGAATCATCCAACCTTCTTTTAAAGCTTGAAGCATGTGTTTAGTTCACATATTAAGCCCAAATCATGAAAGTAAAGAGTTAAGCAACAAAACGTAGAGTTGACTTCTTTACATATTTTATCGAAATATTGTGATAAATTCAAATGTGTCCTAACTTGACTTATCTTAAACTTAATTTGCCGTTTTATGACAACGAGAATGATAGATGGTAGACAAGGGAGGTGGATTCTATTATTGCTATAGTTAACGTAGAATTTTGAGAGAGAACTATAGATCGCTGTGGGGAGCTTCTTCAATTCAATCGAAATGGCTCCGAAAGTCTCCTAAACACCCTCAGTTTTCGCCCAGCTTTTCAAACACTTTCTTAATGATATGATTAAGAAGGAGCTTATTAGTTCAATGATAGATAAATAATTTATTTTAATTACAGGAGGCTAGTAAAATATTGTTTGGTGGGCAGTGGGCCATGAATAAATTCCTTTTTGAAATTTCTTCGTAAACAAATAAAGTCGAGCCAATTTTGAACATTATTAATGACTTAAATAATCTGCGATTGCGTAATTTTTTAGATAAACCTTTAAATATTCAGCTCTGAGCTACAGTAATACAAAGACGGTTTGTGGGCGTTGTTTCACTCTTCAAACCGAAAGCTAAAACTGAAAATTAATCATAGATATAGTAAAACATTTTCCTGTACATTATGTTACAGAAATTTATAAATTTTTTGACGAACAATAATATATTGTAAGGCCTCAATATTCACTCCTTTTTCTTCCATAAAGCAAAATGCCAACACCCCTCCCCTGCAGGAAACCTCCAGACATTTGGTATAATATGTTATTTCATGATATAAAAATCGTCTCTCAAATTGGCACAACATTTACTTAAGTTTTTTTTGCTCTTGGTTTAGAAGAGACCGTTTTTGAGTTTGAAATTACTGTCATGTTTCTTGATTATAAACTTATGGTATTTACTCAGACTTAGTCTAGTTTCAGTCAACTGTAAAGTAAATATGCTCGACTTCAACAATTCTCTGTTTGCACATGACATCATAGCCAATTGTCAATGAATTATTTTGTCATTCTACTCCCTTGGGAGTGATTGAAAATTAGCAATACCAACGCTTTGAAACTCCACTGACCTTTACTGGAACACATGAATATTCTGCACAACACTGAGATTAAACGTGAGCAACAGAGAACTCGAAACTAGAGTATTGGTCATAGTTGTCATTAGATGGCATCATTTCGTTTTTATTTATTTATTTCTTATTAAGTTTTTGCATGTGGGGTTATTTTGCTGGTCCTCTGGTTTTCCAAATCTCCTGCATAGTCAAACCAGCTAAAACATTCCAACTTGACCTGTGATATGATCAGCACAGCAGTTGTTTCAGAGTTTGATAAAATTAAAGGTTTTTGTTTTGTTATTTATGAAGGTACGTTTTAGTTGTGGTGGGGGGCTGGAGGATTAACGGTAAGCTTTCTAAAAATGCTAGTAGTCCACCCCCTTTCACTAGCTACCTTTAGATATGACAATGAGTACAAGATCGAGTACGAGTACGAGTTTTAAAATTGGTCCTGTGCACGTGGTTAACACTAAATCGTAGTCGATTTCCGATTTTTTACAATCTAAAGTTTCAATCTACGTACACGATCACGACTACGAAAAGATAGTGCCACTCTTTAAAAGTTAAACACTTGTACTCGTACTCCTTCTCGTGCTTGTCGTCGGATCTAAAGTTCTCTACTCCTATTGAGTCAACAACGAAACAGCTTCCATTAAGATAAAAAGGTTGGACCCTCTGCCAAAAATCAAATTTTTACTGATGATCCTTTCCTCTGAAGCACCCCTCCCCCTCACCCCCCCTTCCCCCCCCCACCCCCCCCTCACCCCCCCTTCCCCCTACCTGCCCCGCCCCCCACCTAACTAACAAACAAACAAATGAATGTACGTAATTATATATGGAAATAAAATATTTATGAAGCCATTTGCCTCATTAATACCTAACTATGAGCATATTTATAAACATGTCAAAAAGACAGAATAATAAATGTTGATGTTGAACTGGTTTCGAAACCCCTTTTGTATTTAAAGATCAAGAAGGAATCAGCCAAAGGAGAGCCTGTCTGGGAAAATGCTGGGACCAAGGTTGGACTGCAGATCTGGAGGATTGTGGACTTCAAGGTATGTTTGATAGGCAAATGAAGGGCTAATCTTTTTTCTTTTCTCCCTTTCTTTTGTTCATTCTCTGTTTGTTCGTTTATTCCATTTCTCATTCATTCATCATTCATTTGTTTGCTCGCTCGCTCACTTGCTTTGCTTGCTTTCCTTTCTTTCTTTCTTTCTATCTTTCTTTCTTTCTCTCTCTCTTTCTTTATTTCTTCCTTCCTTCCTTCCTTCCTTCCTTCCTTCCTCCCTTTCTTCCTTTCTTTCATTCTTCCTTTCTTTTTTCCTTTTTCTTTTTCATTCATTCTTTTTTTCCTCTTCTTTCTTTGTTCCTGCATGTACTGTTCCTTTGCCCTTTCTGTACTTCTTCCTTCCCTCTCTCTTAATCGTCCCTTTATTTCCTTTTTTCTTTCTAACCTTTCTCTCTCCTCTCCTCTCTTCTCTGCCTTTCTTCTTTCATTTATTCCCCTTTGCTTTCTTGATTCCTTCGTCCCTTCCTTTCTTCGTTCCTTCGTGTCTCCATTCCTTTGGATCTCCCTTTCTCTTTTTCTTTTTCTTCCTTTTATTTCCCTTTCTTCCATTCCTTCCTTTCTAATTACCTTGACTCGTCTTTTTAAACCGCAGGTAACCCACTGGCCCAAATCCAAGTATGGTCAGTTCTATGATGGCGATTCATACATCATCCTGAACACTTACAAGAAGGACCCAAAAAGCGACGTATGTATTATTAAGATATTATATATTAAGATATTATTAAGATATGAAGATATTATGAAGATATCATGAAGATGTCATGATGTCATGAAGATGTTATAAAAATATCATAAAGATATGAAACTTTTATGAAGACATTATAAGGATATTATAAAGATATTATGAAGATATTATGAAAATATTATTAAGATATTATTAAGATATTATTAAAATATTTTAATTATTTTTTGTGCGCGCCTTATTCTTTCCACTACCTCAAATGCGTAAAACCATTATCTTTTGCAGGCCTTGTCCTATGATGTTCATTTCTGGATTGGTCGATATTCCTCCCAAGACGAGTACGGCACAGCAGCCTACAAGACAGTGGAACTGGACACTCTGGTAATTATTTTTATTTTTTCCGAACTGGAAGAGCCAAAAAATTATCATCCTTTCCAACTCTAACGCGAAGTTTTAAAACCGTTTTCCCCATAGTTGGACGACAAGCCTATTCAACATCGTGAAGTGATGAACCACGAGTCCGAACTGTTCAAGTCTTATTTCAAGGAAATCATTTATCTGAATGGAGGGTGCGTTGCAATTCGTAAATTGATCATCCCTTAATGTTTTATGGAATAAGCAAGTCCTTTGTTTTTAAGCTTTCGATGCACGTGGAGGATTTTGATTCTAGTCATCCAACATGGCGGAACGCCTTGTCTGCCATGCTTAGGCTTAATGTTTTCCCATTTCAGACCACATGTCATTCCCTAGAGTATCATTTCTTTGTTTAACGGTTGCACAAGAGAAGACACATGAATAATATACAACTCAAACAAGTTCTTTCACTTTACTTCATAATGATTACAAGATGTCATCGAAACGTCGTAACTTTTTGTCACAAGTTTTTCTTATAAACTTAAAGATTCTTATTCTCAAGAGAATGACACGTGGTCTGAAATGGGGAAACATTATGCCCAAGGTAAAAAGGTCTGTTAGTGATTAGTGTTAATGTTTTCCTTCCTTAGAGCTGACAGCGGCTTCAAAATTGATCAACCCGAAAGTTACAAGCCTCGTCTTTTGGAATTCCGCAAAGTTGATGTGAGAGATTAATTGATAAGTTATTGCATTGTGTTGCATTAGAGCGGCTTTTATATGAGTGGGATGGGAAACGGGACAAAACTGACGCGTTCTGATTGGATGAAAAACTGTAAGACAATTCGAACCCATTTCAATGTCGTACCGTGTACGTGCTGTAAGTCAGTATCTTGTGTTTTCCACTCATACGATAACCATTCTAATGGGAAGCCATTTCAATGTTACGGCATGTCGTACCGTGTACGTACTGTAAGTCAGCACCGTACGTTCCCTACTCATACGATAACCATTCTTACGGGAAGCCATTTCAATGCTACGGCATGTCGTACCGTGTACGTGCTCTAAGTCAGTATCTTGTGTTTCCCACTCATACGATAACCATTCTAATGGGAAGCCATTTCAATGTTACGGCATGTACCGTGTACGTGCTGTAAGTCAGTACCGTATGTTTCCCACTCATACGATAACCATTCTTACGGGAAGCTTGGAAGCCATTACAATGTTACAGCATTTCGTACCGCGTGTATGTTTATTTGTCGTTTGTATCGGTCCACGCACTAAAGTTTAGATGTTCACCTAAGTATTTATCATTAATTTTTTTTTTTTGGAACAGAACAAGATGTATGTAACTGAGAAGCCATTGAAGAAGTCTAGTATTTCAAATGGTGACGTGTACTTGATTGACATGGGATTGACAGTCATTCAGGTAAGGCGAATTAAAAAAACTGGGTTCGAAAATAAAGGTAGACTTCAAAGGTAAAGGCTTTATTTTACATCAGTGATCCTTCAGCAAGTCAAGCTGATCTTCCAGGGAGCTGACGGAGAGCGTTTTACCCCCCCCCCCCTCATAATTTTAAATAATAATAATAATTTTATTACTTATATAGCGCAAAAATTCATTAAAATATATGATCTATTAAATGCGCTTTCAGTTAGTGCATTGTTTTAAAAGTATTCAAAGCTGAAGCTACACTTATTAGAGAGAAGTCGAAACAAGAGTGTGAGACGCGGGGAATCGAACCAGCTAAGCTGACATCACACCTACCAAGTTAGACTGCGGTTACACGGTACCAGACGCGGAATTTTTAAACCGTCAAAAAGTTGTACGTTTAGGGGCTCCGTCCACACAGGACTGAGTTATACAAACAAAAAAATTCGTACGCCTAGCCGTGCAAATTTGGATCCGGTTTCGTGCACTAACAGAACGTGTTTTTTTAATTTTTTAATACAATTAAAGAGACGGTTCCGTGTAAGCGGTACTGTACAGGTCAAATTTTTGACCGGTAAAAAATTCGTCCGGTACCGTATAAACGCAGCCTTAGCTACAATTGCTGCTCGAATCAAGTTTCAGCTTTATTTCTGTTTATCTAATTGTTATCCTCTTATTTTCTCGTCTAGTGGAATGGAAAGGATTCTAGTCCATTTGAAAGAATTGAAGCGCAAAAACTCCAACAAAAGCTCGAGGTATGACGTCACACTGAATTTTAGCGGAACATAGATGTAAAACAAAAATTCTTTTCATAGTCATAATTTAAACTAGTGAATTCTCACTTTCTTAATATTA